GATGTTTCTTCCCTTAAACATGAGTGTACGTATAAAAAAAATACGTGTCTCTTAGATTTTTGTGTTTTACAACATATTTTATGAAGAATCAAATCGGTTCCGGACAATTGTAAAATTTTCCTTGTAAGCAGAGTAGCTTGCTCAATCAATCGTGCTCCATGTTGTATCATTTGTGCTGTCGAATTGACTAATGACGCGATGCACCTAAATCTTGTCATTTTTATATCATTATGTGCGCTATTTTTATTAATAATATCAGATATCTCATGCTCTTGAAAAAATCTTAAATTACGCTAACAAAGCAGCTATATTTTAATGAAATTGCAAATGTTGCATTTTTGTTGTGTCAAATTACATTGATGATGTCATCGTCAAAACATATTAACGTCCTTGAAAAAATTTCTTATATTACGCTGACAAAGCAGTATATTAACTGATATTGCACTATTTGACAACGTCGCATCTCAATTATATCAAAACTTGAAATACGAGTATTAAGATGTTGAACTACCATACTATATAATCATTCACTCATTTAAATTAAATTAATTTTCAGAAATAATAATTGCGTGCCGATAGATTATCGGACATTCACACAACTTATTGCGAAAAATATTGCCTCGACCGGAAATCGAACTCGGATCTCTTGCATTCCGTGCGAGAACGGAATGCAAGAGATCAGGGTTCGACTCCCGGCCGAGGCAATATTTTTCGCAATAAGTTTATTACAGTTTTTTAAGATTTAGGAAATTTGGGGGGATTATTAATATTTCAGATTAATTGCGTTGAAAGTCCGACAACCATATCGGCAAGTAATTATTATATCTGAAATTAATTCATTTAATTGAATATATAATATTATAATTAATTGAATATATAGTTTTGGGAGTATAAATAAGTTTCCGCTGTTTGACAAACAATGGCGCTACCAGTATGTTATAGTTAAAATTATCAGCTGTAAAACGTCATATCGTAAGGTTGGACATCTGACAAGAACATAACCTTGAAATATTAGCGATTTTGCATCAGCATCTTATATCTTTTTTCGTGCGAAAATGTCGAGTTTTGAGCCGAATAAGCATCATTTGCGGGAGCTTTTGATTTACTTCTTTAATTTGAAGAAATCTGCAGCTGAGGCGCATCGATTGCTTGTAGAAGCATATGGTGAGGCTGCCTTAAGTGAGAGAAGTTGCCGTGAGTGGTTTCAAAAGTTTAAGAACGGTGAATTTGACGTCGAAGACAAAGAACGTAGCGGAAGGCCGAAAGTGTACGAAGACGCGGAATTGGAAGCATTATTGGATGAAGATTCGTGCCAAACGCAAGAAGCACTTGCACTTACATTAGGAGTGACTCAACCAGCAATTTCACATCGCTTAAAATCGTTGGGAATGATTCAAAAGCAAGGAAATTGGGTTCCATATGAACTGAAGCCGAGAAACGTTGAACGCCGATTTTTTACATGTGAAATGCTGCTTGCCAGGCATAAACGAAAGGGTTTTTTGCACCGTGTAGTCACTGGTGATGAAAAATAGATCCACTACGATAACCCAAAGAAGAAGAAATCATGGAAACCACCTGGCCATGCTTCAACATCGACAGCCAAGCCGAACATTCATGGGAAAAAGCTCATGTTGTGGGATCAGCTAGGTGTCGTTTATTATGAGTTGCTCAAACCGAACGAAACCATTACTGGGGCTCTCTACCGAACACAATTGATGAGATTGAGCCGAGCAAGGAAAAACGCGCCCACTATTACTCCAGACACGACAAAGTTATTCTTCTGCATGATGCTCGTCCACATGTTGCGGCGCCGGTCAAAATCTAACCTTGGAAACACTCAATTGGGAAATTTTACCCCACCCGCCGTATTCACCAGACATTGCTCCTTCTGATTACTACCTGTTTCAATCGATGGCGCATGGTCTGTCTGAGCAACACTTCATATCATATGAAGATACTAAAAATTGGGTCGATTCGTGGATGATTTCAAAAGATAAAGCGTTTTTCCGACGCGGTATCCGTATGCTGCCAGAAAGATGGGAAAAAGTAGTGGCTAGCGATGGACATTACTTCGAATGAAACATTAGGTACCGTTCTTTCACAATAAATGCCCAATTTTTGATAAAAAACAGCGGAAACTTATTTATACTCCTAATAGTTCAACATCTTAACATTCAGACCGTAGTGGTATCATCTAATCTTCGTATCATCTAATGTATCTGAATGTGAAATGCAGTTTTTCAATCTAATTGAATAAAAAAAAGTTTTTACTTAAAAATGGACCATAAATGCTACTTATATTATTCAGAATTATAAGTAAAAAATGTTTTGTTTTAATTCAACTAAGTTCAAAAAAGTAACTTAAAAATAATTGAGCTATGTTCTTTTGTTTCTCTTTGATTAGAAGTAAAATGAATGATCAATGCGAACACTCGCAAACCAAGTCGAACACAGTCCGAATATTAGGCTAATCATGGCGCGCGACATCGGCCAAGCGAGATTAGATTATCCGACACTTATTACCAATGTTGTCTCATAGTAATATAAATTGTTTACATTTTATTATATCTGTTAAACGATGATATTTTTATTATATTTATAATTTCATTACTAGTTTAGCTGGTTGTAATTAAAATAGAGAATGAATAATATATTTACTATTGAAGAAGTGGTGTAGCAGGTAATATAGAAGATTCATAATCCAGTGGTCCCAGGTTTGAATCCCACTAAAATGCATTTTTTAATATCAATTTGAAATATAGTTAATTTCAAATATAATTATTATAAATATCTTAGGAATAAAATTTGTAATCCTGAAATATGAATGTTTTTTTTTCGAATATTAAACTAATGCTTGAATCTAATCCATTTCAATACATTCAATCCATTTTCATGGATTTAAAGTACGCATTAACAAAATTTTAATCCATTTTAATTCATTCTTGTTTGCTGGGAATTCTGTCGTAAATTTTATTATCGCGTATCAGGCTATTCTGGGTATCTATGTTTTTGCCTATCTTTCCAAAATCATTGGGAAGGTTTTCAACGACACATTTCTTAAATATTGTCACGCTCACCGATCGGTGACCGCCCAGCAAACGAGAATGGATTAAAATGGATTGAAATTTTTTCTATTCGAATACGGATAGAATTTTAAATAGCGAATACTTTTTTTGGATTTAATTGGATTCAATTAGATCCAATTGGATGCAATTGGATTAAAATGGAAATTGTATTTTCTATTCAAAATTTTGAATTGAACAGTATTCACAATGCACAGAAAAAGCTAATATTATTTTTAGATTAAAAGGCATAGAGATATGCTCCATGCCTTTTCATGCAATTCCTATAAATGAATAAAAATGCATTTAGGATTGAAAAGCATTTATTTTAACAATCATAAATCAATATTTCTGAAAATCTTAATCCATTTTAATTCATTTCAATCCATTCTCGTTTGCTGAGCGTTAACGCTCGCGTTTTTTCTCATATCTTGTTCCAGCAATCACCTTGGTTGTTCGGGGAGACGCTATACGTGCTATTTAGTGCTACAAACTGTTCACGGAGCTGCAGATAGCGCTAACAAACACGATCATGACGTCACTAATGCTAGTGTGTTGCATCACAACTGCGCACTATCATCATTATTCCTTCTGATGTAATGTAACGTTAGAGGTAACGTTGCTAGCGTTTAATTCGTCAAAGTTAGATTAATGTTTGAGGGGATTTTGTTCTTAAATGGCACCAAACTTTTCTCTCTTTAGAATTTTGTAGAGTAGATAACGTACGTACGTAACATGTGAGTTAAAAATTTTATTGTAGTGAATGCAATCTCAATTTCAATCTCTGCAATTGATGACTTGCCACTAGGCTGGAGTGGTGAACGTAATTCTTGTTTATGTATCATCTTTAACTTTTCAAAGTTTCTGCAGAGTTCAACTTGTGTATTTTATTTAATTACAAATGTAAAAGTCAGAGTATCTTGTTACCGACGATTTTTAATTCCCGTATACGTAAAAAAGTTACTATTACGGTATAGCGCGGCAAGGTATTCCGCTGCAGATGCTTAAGGTCCTTATTAGATGTAGATACGCTTCTTCTCAAATCGATAATAAATGCTCGAGGATTCTTCCATTTATCTGATTAATTTACTCAGCGTAACTATTAATTTTTTGATCTAATTTACATTGTTCACTCCGGCAAACCATCATAGAGATTGCAATTGAGATTGCGTTATGTTATTCACTACTAGAAAGTTAAAAATTTACGTTACAAAACCCTAAAAATTTAAATTACAGAGAAAAGTTTAGTCGGTGATTGAAAACAGAATCCCCTACATTAACTTAACCTCGACAAATATTAAATCTCTCTGGTTAAATGCTACCAACGCTACATTAGAATTGTTCATGGAGCTTGCTAACGCTATCGCACTATTGACTCCACGAACAGCATTGGTAGCGTTTGCGTCCATAGCACGAATAGTGTTTCCCCAGAACGTGCCCCTTATCGAATGTTCGCGAAATGAGGAAATCGTGGAGTTCTACTAGACGTAACAGCAGCTTACTATATAACATGGACTGCTAGCAGCAACTTCAGACTGGTAGTTATTCCATGCAACAGAAAGAGAGGTATGTACATACTATAACGGATTGCTACATATAATGAATGTAGGTAATGGATGGCACTCGAGTTAACAAGTAACAATGTTTATTAAATAGCAAATACAATATCTTATCGCGAGGTTGTAAAGTAACTATGTCGTGTATAAGGATGACTCTAGTAGGAATGTTAATGTTCTCGAAGGAAACTCGTTCTCGAAGGAGTATCTAGGTGGAAGATTGAGTATAGTTTGCGAGAGCGCGCCATCTGATCGCGGAGTATGTTTACATGAATATACGACATGAAGTACTAATAGTGTGTATGTAAGTGTGAATGTCTCCACATGTACTCTCCTCCGAGAGACCATGTATGCATAGGCGAATCGTACTTTTTTAAACTTATCACATTTTTTCTTTAGTGTAATGTGCCATGTTTTCTGTTGTGGCTTCTTGTGGCGATTCCGGCACTTCTTCTGCGTTGTGTAAGAAGGCGGGTTTCAGTCTTTCTGTTGATAGGGCTACATTATGGCCATTCATGTGGATCACGTAAACCTGTTTTTTCCTGCGTATCACTTCGTGTGGTCCGATGTAAGGATGTTGGAGTGGTTTTCGAATGCCGTCTTTCCTGACGAAAACGTGTGTGGCCTGTTTTAGTTGTTGTTGTCGAAAGACTCTCCGTTTCCCATAGTAATGCGTTGGTTGTGGACGGAGTTGTCGTATGCGTTTACGAAGTGCCATGACGAAGGTTTTCGTGTCTGTCGGATCTAGGTTCTCTAGAAATTCTCTGGGTACTCTCAGCGGTGCGCCGTGGACTAACTCAGCTGGAGAGCATTTCAGATCTTCTTTCAGACATGTGCGCAGGCTTAGCAGTACTGTAGGCAAAAGGTCTAGCCATTGTCTTCCGTCTTCGTAGCAAGTTATCGCAGTTTTAAGAGTGCGGTGCCATCTCTCAATCAGGCCGTTTGACGCTAAATAATAAGGAGATGTTCTGGTCTTCTTGCTGCCCAGGAATTTCGAGAGTGCCTGGAAAAGACTTCGAATTGTTTGCCTTGATCAGTAGTGATAACGGCAGGTGTGCCGAAGCGTACTACCCAACCGTCGATGAATGCTGCGGCAATTGTTTGCGCGGCCATGTTGGGGAGTGGAATGGCTTCAGGCCATCTAGAAAAGCGGTCAATCATGGTTAAACAATACCTATATCCTCTTATCTCCGAGAGAGAGCCGATGAGATCAAGGTGAACTTGGTGCAAACACTGATCCAGCGTTGGAATCTTTTGAGGAATATTTTTGGTGTGCCATTTAATTTTGCTACGTTGGCACTACGGAGGTAGGTACGTGCCCAATGTGTGATGTCTCTGTTGATTCCCGGCCAAACGAATTTTTGTCCAATTTGATGTTTGGTGACTCTGCCGCTGGGGTGTGCCATTCTACGCACGGCGTCGAAGATTCTTTTCCTCACAATTCCTGGGATATAAGGTCGTATGACGCCTTTTAATGTCGCAGTAAAGTGGTATGGTTGAGCCTAGTAATGTGAATTCTTTTAACTGTAAAGCTGATTCGCTTTTGAGAAGTTCTTGGAGCTTTTCATCTTTCGCTTGTTTTGCGTGTCCTTGGATAGTTCTTCTGTAGTAGTAATGACTGGAACTTGGATACGTGACAACGTATCAGGAACTATATTTTCCTGTCCAGCGATTTGTATAATGTTTGTGGTGAATTGAGCAATCAAATCTAACTGTCGAGCTTGTCGAGGTAACGCTTTGTCTAATCACTGTCTGAATGGGTTAGAGGTTTATGATCAGTTCTAATAGTGACTATGCGATCTTGAAGTATGTCTTTAAAATATTTAATACTTTCGTAGATCACTAGAAGCTCTCGATCATACATGCTATATTTCTTTTGTGTATCAGAGAGTTTTTTAGAATAGAATGCTATAGGTGACAATTGGTTATTGCTCACCTATTCTAATGAAGCTCCTAGGACAGTGTCTGATGCATCAGTGGAGAGAAGCAGCGTTGCTCCCTCGATCGAGCGTACCAGTAGAGTAGCATTTGCAAGTTCCGCTTTGCAGGCTTCGAATGTGGCTATTTCGTCTTGGCATTCCAAGGCACACGTCTTTTGTCATTTTTCTTACTATCTTTTAATAGCTCATGTAGCGGTCTCTGGTTTTTGGCATTCTTCAGGTGACGACGATAATAGTTTAACATGCCAAGAAATCTGCGGAATTGAATTTCGTCTCAGGTCATGTAAAATTAGTAATTGCTTTTACCTTGTCTGCCCGAGGTTTGATACCGTCGCTGTTAATCTCGTGTCCGAGAAATTGTATGTTCCTCTGCCCGAATTTGCACTTAACTGGGTTGATCGTGATGCCTGCCTTCTGGAGTTGCTGGAAGACCTGACGTAGATCCTTTTTGTGTTGCTCCTCGTCAGTTGAGGCTACGAGCACGTCGTCTACGTGAGCGAAACATCATTCTAAGCCTTGGTAAGACCTGATTCATTAGTCGTTGGAAGATTTATGTTGCATTCCGTAAGTCGAAAGGCATGGTGACGAATTCGAATAGACTAAAGAGAGCGTAGTTACCGCCGTCTTTGGGACGTCTTCTTTGGGGACAGATACAATACCTTAGGGTGATATGCTTTAACTAGAGTGTGGAGAATATATGTTTACCGTGCAGAATGTTGGCGAGGTCATGTATGTGAGGCAGTGAGTATCTGTCTGGGGTCGTCACCGCGTTTAGGCCTCGGTAATCCCCGCAAGGTCTCCACACTCCGGGTTGCTTCTTTGATACCAGATGCAGTAGTAGCC